ATGAGAATTGAGTGATTTGAATTTGATAATCTAATTTATTCACCGTGTAACAAGGCCCTAGGTGATCGAATCTTGATTCCTCAATGTTTCTTGTGTTGTTGTTTTTGAGTATAAATTCATCTTGAATTTCGATCCAAAATACAACAAGAATGTCACAATAAACTCATGACCTATCTAGTAAGATCAAAATCTTGAATCATATCAAGAGAGTTTCACAAGAAGAACAACGTGCATGAGAAATTGTTTCTAACAACTTTCCCTCATATTAGTTGTATGATCAATCTTCACAACAAACAAAAAGTTCCTTCTCTTACTTTGGATTAATCATCTCTATGATTTTTGTTATTTGAGTTTAAGTGAAATTCATTTATTTAATAGGATTTTGCACAATTTTAGTGTGATTGATTTATAGTAATTGAAAATAAAATAATAAAAAAAAATTTCGTTTATAGTTAAGATATAGAAGTACGGTTAGGAGCGTTAAAGTTAAATTATGACACAATCTTTGAACATGTTACGAAATTGAAGAATTTGTATTTTTCATAAGTTACTTGTTTTGTAAATGAATGGACCTGACACGATATACTATTAACGAATTGGATATGAGTAAAAACTAATCAAATAAAATATATGACACAATTCGTTTATATATCGATTAGACATGATTCATATACACAACGTAAACCCGATATGATTTGATTCGTTAGATATAAATTCATAAACGAATTGATATGAATAAAATATTTTTTTGACATGAATTCGTTAAGTCCTATACAATCTCATTAATAAATGATAACGACTGCCCAGCAAAACCATTCTTCAAAGTTGAATTACCATTTTTAAACAGCTTCTCTGTATTCGATCTGCAAACACACACCTTCTCAGTGCGACCCCCCTTAGTACCACACTGGATATAACAGTTGAGCAACACCCCTATTTAGATTCCAAATTCCACTCCGATCAAAACCCATCTTCCCTCTCTCTCTCTCTCTCACACACACACACACACACACACACACACACACAGATCTCTGTCACTTCTCTTCACATACCCATTTCATATATGCCCAGATTTTGTTTCTTTATTCTATAGTTGAGCTATATATAGCTCAATCTTACACTCCACCGTCGGTACCTCTGTGCTTAATTTTCCTTCACAAGATCCAAACTCTTCAACAGCTTAGGGTTTAGACTTCAGATATTACCCATGTGTAACGCTTATGTGTAATCACTGAAACATGAATCAGAATCGAACCCGTCTTATTTCTTCAAAATTTCTACACATCATTTCCCACAAACTATAGCCAAAAAGTTCAATCTCTCACCTTCCCACCACTCATATCTCCCATGAAGCGCTCTTTGCGGCCACTATTCAGCTTATTGCTGTTCATTGTCGTCGCCGCCACTCTCACCTGTAGAGTCATGCTCCGCCGTGACTCATTTCAGCTCGAAAACGACAAACCATTGGTCCAAAAGCCCACAAAATCAGTACTCAACGCGACCCTTCTCAAGTTCGCCGCCATTGACATGGGGGAACCCCAGTTGAAGAAAGAAATGGAACTCTTATTGGAAGGTAGGTTCGAAAAAAATGGCCGCCAGAGGTCATTCTTGTCCTCTGATAGATATCCTATTGATATTCGGGCTAGATCAGCTAGAGGCATGCCGGTACAGCTCCAGTCACCGCAGTTTTACAGACTATGGTTGGATTTTAGGAGGTATTTACAAGATTGGTCAAGAAATAGAAGGTTTCAATCTGATATTATGTTGGATTTGCCTAATTTAGTGAAGGGTCCAATTGATAATTTCAGTGGAGCAAAGGGTGTTGGGGGAAAATATAGGACTTGTGCTGTTGTGGGAAATAGTGGGATTTTGTTGAAGACTGAGAATGGGGAGTTAATTGATAGCCATGATGTGGTGATTAGGCTAAACAATGCCAGGATAGGGAGTTTCGAGCGCAATGTGGGTTCAAAAACTAGTATTTCGTTTGTTAATAGTAATATTTTGCATTTCTGTGCTCGAAGGGGAGGTTGCTTTTGCCATCCATACGGGGCAGATGTACCAATTGTTATGTATATATGTCAACCAAAGCATTTCTTGGATTATACTTTGTGTAATTCTTCACATAGAGCACCTTTGGTTGTCACTGATCCACGGTTTGATGTGTTGTGTTCGAGGATTACGAAGTATTATTCATTGAAACGGTTTGTGGAGGTGACAGGGAAGGATATTGAAGGGTGGCCATCTGCCCATGATGGGCTGAATTTCCATTACTCTTCAGGTATGCAGGCTGTTATGCTTGCTGTGGGGATTTGTGAGAAAGTAAGTATTTTTGGGTTTGGGAAGTCAGATTTGGCTAAGCATCATTACCATACTAATCAGAAAGGTGAGCTAATGTTACATGATTATGAGGCGGAGTACGATTTTTATCATGATTTGGTGGAGACACCACAGGTAATACCATTTATCTCCGGCAAGTTCAAGTTTCCTCCTGTTGTTATGTATCAATGAAGTGCTCTGCTTTTGTGGAATTAGTTGAGTGTTTTGTTGAACTCATGTTGTAACGGTTGTGTCCCAAGGACAAACAGAGAAACAACAGATGCTGAAGAATTCTGTTTCTTATTCAAACACTCTTCTATCCGAGATATTAAATGTAAATTTGATTTTGAGGAATGAATTTTTGTACGATTTGTTGTGATTCGGTTTCCATGAATTTTGGGTACCTCTTTGTTTGAAAGATAAACTTATCTCATTCAATTGTCATGTGAATTGCACTCTCTTGTCATTAGGCTTATTTAATATCCCCGGATGGTCATTTTTTTTTGCTTCCTTTTTTTCATTAGTCATTTGGAGGGTTATAGCCATTATATTTGGGATAAAACTGGATATGCTCTAGGTGAATAAAATTTACTTTCATGTGACGTTGTTACAACTTCGATTGTTAATTCCCAATTCCAATTGTTCTAACTTGTGCGATTTGTCTTTTAACTTAACTAGAAGCTCAACTTGATAGGAAAGTGCATTGACAAGGTAGTGTTTTAACTATTCAAGCAGTTCCCTATCATGTTTCCAAATGGTTTTTTAGTTAGACATGGTGTGACTGCTTCACGGGAGTATTTTATGGCCAAACTTTGAAATATGTCGAGACACATGCACAAGGACATCAAATATGTCATACTGGATATCCTTTTATGGCATGAAGGCCCACAAACTCTATACCTTGATAGTCATATATTTTGAACATTTGATGTCCTTGACGGTGCTGGAAAATAAAAGATGCCAGTATGCTGTACTTAAGCTTAAGAGGGTTCGGCTCATCTTGTAATTGAACATGTCCTGATCAGAGTTTGCACTTTCCCTGGAGAGAAGGTACTGCAGTATTTATGCCGGTGATCAGTTTTATTGCCTTAACTATTTAGGTTCAAGACAATTTCCCCCCTTAATGTTCAGATTTAGTGGCATTTTGTTCCCTTCTTTTTGGGCGTCAATTTCTTAGGAGTTTGACCACATTGCTCTTTTTGGCATTTTGGGGAGCTGGTCTGCTGTTTGTGGCTGTTAGAAGAGTTTTTATGTTTTTATGCTTGTAACCTTATAGGGGACTGTTATTTCTTTTTAGCTTAAGGATTGGACTACTTGTCCATCATTACTCTATTATTGTACTACCTTTTCTTATTATTAATAATATCTTTTGTTACTTATCAAAAAAAAAAAAAAAGAATTACGACGCAAGTTTCAATTTGTTAAGGTGTCCAATTGTAAACCTCCATCCAAATATTTAACCGAATCAAGCAATTCAAACCAATTGAAACTAGAATTTCAGACCGAAAAGCCAAGACTATTCAAACACAAATTTGAAACTTTTGAGGTTGGAATGCTACGGTTTGAAACATCACCAGGTGTAACCTTTAACAGTAAGGGTAACTTAAACTAACTAATCCATGTCAATATATCTGTGTTATTTGTTGGCCATGTAATTATTCTCTCAGCGTCCAAGTCTATTTTATTTGAATAACCTAGAGAGCAGGCAGTTAGCGATTAATGTAGCAAAACAAATGTAAAATGTTTACATCCCCCTTGAGCATGGGAACTTCAATATGTTGGATCTTGCAGGTCTCTATAGCTCCTATTGAGGATATGCATTCTATAGTTTTCATCTATTGAATTTGAAACAGAGTATCAACAGTTTTGTCATGTGGTTTGTAGACCACTGGACACCACACACAACATGAATACATCTATATTAGCATGACCTTCAACATAAGGACCTTTAACTTACCTTAAGAGTGTGCTGGCTCAGATGTTAGAGGTGGGATAGTACTAAGTTAGTCCAGTGATTACTTACTATTAGGTTTGAATCATGTATAAAGTTTGGTGATCTCAATGATTTTGTTAATACTGGCTTGGGTGGGTATTAAATAAGGCCAGATTTGTATCCATATCTAGAATGACAAGAGTATCTCTGACAGGCCAAAGGGTCATGAAGTCTGGTGCATTTTGTCTCCTAGAGAACATGAAGAAGGTAAAATATTTTGAGTCTGGTTGGATCCATCTGCTAGGAAGATTGGGAAATATTTTTGTGAGCTTTCTGTTTTCCTAAGTAGAAATAATAAGATAGATTACAGTAAATATCCCTCAACTCTTATTCTAATCTCACTTAGCCCTTTATGTCTCACAATATTCCCAAGAGAATGACATGGTCAGTTAGATTTTTGGGTACCTATGAAACCAATAACATAAACCAACAGCTCATGGCAGCTAAACTGTCAACGTAAATTGCAAAGCAATACGAGGATATGAAACAAACAACTGTAAGAGCAACTTTAAGTGGCTAATATTTTGCATATTATAGGATCCTTTGCAAATTCATCGAGAAGTTGTACGCATGATGTCCGACAGTTTTTAACATCTGAGATTTTTCGGTCTTGTATCAAAATCACTTTGATTTTGAGAGTTTCTTGCATGTGATTTTTACACAGACGGAGGAGAGTTTCATAGAGAGAGAGAGAGAGTTAGACCTTTAGCTAATATGTTATACCTAAATGGTGTTTGATGAAATGTATGAATAAAAATTTAATCATTGTCACATAAAATTTGGATGATAACAATGGACAGTAACAATGAAAATGCATTGTCACTATCACTATTACTGTTTAGTTTCGTAGAATTTGGACTGTGAAATTTGTCACTGTTGTTATGTTACTGTCGCTGTTGTTGTCCATTTCGTAATATACCTAATCATGTCATTAAGGATAAAATAGTAGCCGAAAAGAATAGCGCCTAACAGTGACAATAAAAATTTATTATTACTATTTCAATATTACTGTCCTATGTTACCTGGCCATTACTATTACTGTCTCACTGTTACTGTTTATTTCGTAATATAGTTATTTATATCATTAAGGGTAAATTAGTTTTTATGCATTTAATTGTCATCTAAGCCCTAAAAAATATGTGCATTAACTAATTGTCTTAAAAGTCCACAACTGTAGACCCACCTCTAAATAACCCTTTGAAAAACTACTATTTAAATTGGGTCAGTCTGGCCCCAAGCTTGGACTTCTGACCCAACATAGTGTCGGACCATTTTCTGCCTAAGCCCAGCCTATGGGGACCAAATATGACCCTAACTCATATGTAAATGTTTGTATATCTTTATATTTTATAGAAATGTATCTACAAATAAGGAGAGGACTCCAAACCTGATTCTCTAATTTTTTGAATTTTTAACTTCAAAATTTTGGAAAAACTTATGTGGCTTCTTTTTATTGGTCCTTCTAATTTTTGCTTGGTAATTTAAATTCTCCCTTTAGATAAGAATAACTCTGTTTTTAAATTAATAGATACCTGTAATTTTTAAATTGCCCACATTTCTTCACTTGTAACTCTCCGTTCCATATATTATCAAAAAATAAATCTTCACTCATTGACGTCTCTCTTTTCAATTTTCAAATCTCCCGTTCATGCGTATCCCTTTTTTTGTTTTTCAATGATGAGATGTAACAGATATGAGAGTGAAATACAATAATGGAGTTATGTTTTTAATTATATTAGAGTAAGATGGATCTGTTCCGTTTTTTAATGATGAGATGCAACAGATATGAGAGTGAAATACCATAATGGAGCCATGTTTTTTTATAATATGAAAGTAAGATGGATCTTTTCTTTGATGGTAAAATGAATGAGCTGTGGATGATGTGTGTATTTGATGCAGAATTTGGTGGTGATAGGAGTTGATGCCATCATCTAGACTAGGTCCATATTTTTTACCAATCAAAAAGGTAGTTTTAGTAATAGTCTAATTTTACCTTTCCATTAATTTAGTAGAATGTTAAAATTCTTATACCTTATTCTCAATGTTTCGATGTGAATACCACTTTTTGAATAGTGGGTTGGCATCTATTAGATATTATCATTCTAGAGTTAGTGTTACTACAATTATTAAGCATTCCCGATATCCAATTAATGATATTGACAAGTTGTTTTTGTTATGGCTCTATTCTTTCTTTCACGCTCCAATAAAATTTTAAATTATAATTAATAAGGTGTAACAAGCGGCGAGTAATTATAATTACAGTAGTATAGCTTATGTTGTTTTAAAGCTTTCATTTTAGTCACATATCTGGAGATGAGACTATGTAAATTTGGAAAAGTAAAGATATCATTGATTGTTGCAAAAAGTGCAAGTGTAGAGGGGCATGCCCCTGGTCATGCATAATAGTTAGGTAGCCCCAAACAATGAGAAATTTTTTTTGTTCTTACTAGGCACCATTTGTTTTTTTTTCATCACATTGTCCTGTGTGATGACATTTGTTTTTCAAATTTCAATTCAACCATTATGTACGCATGGGGAGAGACTTTTAAGCTAAAATTGCTGAAAGAAAATTGTATGATGATATGGGTCTTTCTTTTGTCTTGTCTGTCTATATTTTTAATAGATTATTCCTGTTAATTCTGTAATTTTTCTATGAAAATTAATTTCGTCGCATCATATTTCTGTGGGTTCATGAGACCATTTTACTATACCCACGTGGGTAGTGGGAACTATTCTTCAATATTAATTTATTTGTCTTTTTCAGAAGAGCGATTATTTTGTTTGTCTTATGCATGCTTGCTAGAGCTCAACATATAAACCATTTGTTGATAGGGGTGTATAATTTGTAAGACACAATTTTCATCTTTTTTTAAAAGTTTTTATCTCATACAAACGACTTCACTAATTATTTTTTCTTCTAATGCGGTGCTCACATAATTGAGGTTGTTGGGGAGAGGTGGAAGTTAGAGGGCTGGCATGGTGGTTTTTTTTTTTGGAGGAAGGGGAGCAGGGGTGGTTGTTTAGATAGAGTGTTTAAGGGGCGGTTGTTGAGGGTACGTGCATTCAGACGTGTGAGAATGAAGTATGGCGTGTTAGGGAAGAGTGAACTTAGTGGACTTGTAGTGGTTAATTATCAGAATTAAGTTATTTAGATGAAATATAAGGGATGTTTATGATGTAAAAAGCATTTGAATACTTGAAAATTGTACAAGTGTGAAATACATTTGGTGATGAGAGATAGAAATTATTGGTGATTATGAATTATTTAGTATTATCTGTGCTAATAATAACGAAGTGTGAAATACACCCATAACATTGTGCTTTAATTTTGCACAGTTCTATTCCTTTTTCGAATTCGGAATAGTAATAGTGCAATGGTCCTCTCTCTCTC